TAAGAGAAGTTTCAAATCAAGCTTTAAAACGTGTTATTAACCATCTACCCAGCCATTTGAAAGATACATGCCTGTGATAAGAGTATTGTATTGCCATTAACCTGTGGGATGGTTCGAGACGTCTCTTATTCACACAAAACTCTAAATGCATCTAATTAAAGCCACAAGATCAGCTGTCCATATTAATCACTCACCAGTTTAATTAAGGTAAACCAGCTTGTCAGAAAGCCAGTCTTCTCTCTATTCTTCACCATTATCGACTTTTAATAGTTCACTGGATTAGTAATTACTTGTTTATGGCATTATCAAATACCTGGCAGAGAAAACCACAGTATGTGCCCAGGAAACTGCTTTAGGCCGACGCTTGCTTGGGACACGAGGAGAAATCTACCCCATCAGAGGAAGTTTTCTAAAATGCCATACAATGTGATTTAGACACAAGTACAACCCCGAAGAGAAACGAATTGAGCTACAAGTATCCTAACAAGAGATTCAGACTTGGAAGTTCATTTTGTGGTTCCTCAGATTAATGCAGGCATTCTGAATGCCAGGCTAGGAAGAAGGCAGTCAGTGAGATCTCCTGCTCGCTTGTAAAAACCACATCTTTCACACAGAGCGTGCAAGAGTGGGCAGGCACATACAGTGCCACTCCACGAGGGACAACAATAAAGAAAATGACAAGTCCTACAATAAAACAACATTTTCTACAGGATCAACTCCTTTCCTAAGTAATTAGGGTATGGATAAGGGGAGCAAGCCTCTTTCTCACCATTCAAGGATGCTCACCTTGGGAGTAAATCCCAGGCAGCAACAGTCATTTCAACATAAGGCAGTAGCTGAGGGATGGCAGTCCTCTCCGACCTGCTGGCAGTCCTGCCTGGCAAACTGCTGCCACCGCTCTTGGAAGACTGGAGCGTTTCGTTGGATGTTCCCCATCCACTTTGGCTCTGCTCAGCTTCTGAAGTTGTGGTGATCACAGACAAGACCGATGATTGTGGGTTGTTATAAAACGCGATGACATACAACACAACCAAAATCAGGGGGAGGAAGGAGCAGGAGAGCGGAGAAAAAAAGGGATTATGTATATTCCTAATTCTCCTTAGGCATACCTGCTGCCATCAATGATGAACATTTGTTCTGGGAAGAGCTGCTACCAGTGGAACACTTAGCATATGAACACCAACCTAATTCCTGTTGGAAATAAACCAGTTTCCACTCTCTCCTTTACTAGAGGAATATTTCAACCTAATAATAAAGTCTCCACTGTAGCATGTCAGACCAGCAGCTCTCTGGTAGCAGGCTGGAATTTTAAGTCTTAATGCAGCAATATCAGCTGTAATGAATTCTACGTAACTATGACTTCTAAAAATAAAAAGCCTTTTTCTTTCCTTAAAACCACGTATGAATGAGAGTATAGAAGAAAAGGAAATGGGGTCTAGCCGCTCACTGCTGTCAGTAACGAGGATCCTTCTGAAACAGTTTAACTACTCCCACCCAGTGCAACCTAAATACAAATATTTCACTTGCATTACTCAGCTCAGCTTTACCTTACCATTCAACATAGGCCACCACAATAAAAATGATAACTGCTTATAAAACAAGTGAAGAATATTAGAAAAGGTAAAGTGGGGTGAACAGACAGAACAGAGTTAAAGCCTGAATCACCGTAAAATTCCACCAGCCCCACGTGGTGAATTCTACTGAATACCAAGACCTGGACAAGAAAATTGTTTTTCCACAGGAAAACCAGATTCATTAAAGAGTTTTGTATTATAATCTGTAACAAGAGAGTAGAGCTACTTATTCTGTTATCATTCACTTGTGCACATTCATCCGACCTTGTTCACTTTCACTTGCTTAATTTCACACTGAAATACACAGAAGTTGGTTTCCAATGTCCTCCTTTATCTCAGCATTTACCTTTAATAAACCATAAGCAGTAATCACAATAAACTAATCATTACAAAGTGTTATTTAGAAAAATGAAAGTGATACTAAAAGAAGTCTGGACCTAAGTTTAAATACAAAGAAAAAAGCACCCATTGAAATGTACGCACATACTTTGCAATAAGTACTATGCACAGAGGTCAGAGTTTCTGAGCAACCTCAGCTCCCACAGCCAGAGATGTTGCTGCCGATTACTCCTGAAGAACCAGTTCCCTTTCTACGTTTTATTTATATACGTACATCCACACACACGCACGCACACGCGCACACACGCACAAAAGCGCTGCACAGTTATGACCCATCTGAAAGAAAACACATTCGCTGCATTGTCAGCGCTCTGTTGTAATGCACTCTACCCCTTCTGAATGCAATGCTCAGCTTCAGCTTACCACCCTGACAAATAAAGGAAAGCACTTTATGAAACCAATTTAATTGGGAGGTCACAGAAAACATACAGCCATTTTCTTTAGCCTTATCACTGAATTGGCTTCAGCTCCAATCGCTGCCAAATCCCACTCAACAGAAGACATTAACCAGGTCAGCGGACCAGGTGCAGCGCGGTGTCCGGCAAGGGGCTGGCATCCCCACCATTGCTTGCACACAATGAAGCAGTAATCTTTACAGATCATCTCTCCCAAGAAGCATATTGGGGATGGGAGGAGAGGAGAAGGGTGGAAGGGAGGGAGGGATAAAAAAAAAAAAAAAAAAAAAAAAAAAAAACCAAGCAAGAAAGGAAAATGAATGTGTAGCTGCCTCGCGGCTCAGCAGATGTCTGTGCGTGATGTACGAGGCTAGGATAAGCTGTCGTATTGGGGGGAGGGGAGGGGGAGGAGGGGGGAAGGGGGGGGGGGAAAAAAAAAAAAAAAAAAAAACAAAAAAAAACCAAGCAAGAAAGGAAAATGAATGTGTAGCTGCCTCGCGGCTCAGCAGATGTCTGTGCGTGATGTACGAGGCTAGGATAAGCTGTCGTAGCCCGCTGCCAAAGAGTGGTAAGTGATTAAAGCCTCCACCAGGCTAAACACCATATTTAGAGTCTATGGGGTTTCGAAAGTTGCACCCATTCCTTGCTGTGCTGCCAGATGTTGTTGGCTGGTCCTGCTCCTATTCACTGTGCGCGGGAGGCAGCAGTTGGTACGGCAAGGAATGCAATCTGGAATGTTTCCGGAGGTGCCGTACATTAAAATGGTGTCACCTATCCTTCACCTCTACCGAATGCTGAAACAACTCCAATTTGCTGCCACTTCCCTCTTGGGAAATGGCCAAGATACAGTTGTGCCTGGCAGACCCATTTGTTTTACTCAGGTGATTCTCTTCCCTCAATGACCTCTATTAGTTTAAGTTTTAATTTAGATTAACCCCAGCACCCCAATTAACCAGTGAGGGGAAAAGCTAAGCTGTGACTAGTCATATTTCTGAAATCACGATTTATCGAAGTTAAAGTTATTAGAAGGAAAGACGCACCATTCATCTATTGCTATTTTTCTTTTAAAAATTTAACATTTCACGGCCAATAAGCACCTTCTCTGCACAGGTCCACAGATTGTCAATCACAGCTATTTCTCCTCGACCACTTCACTATTTTGTTACACTGGCTTAATTTGTTCTGTGTTCTTAGCGTCCACTTGGCCCCCAGAGCTGGGCTTCTGGTCCACTTGGACCCCAAATTCCACCTCAGTATTATCTCACTGCGTTACAGATTTGGCCCCTTCAACCACTGGTGCCAACAAGACAGGCATTCTCTGATCTCCATTTCAGAGCCTACCCAGATGGGCCTGGCATCTCCCCCTACCCAAGAGATGCTGCTCCATTCACAGCAACGCTAGCAGAGACGCTCTTACAATAAATACACAGCCTGGAGAGGAGCTAGCTTGGAATACGTTCCTGGCTCTGAGGCAGGCTGCCCTGAACAGGTCCCTCACAAGCATTAAATATTCAAATTGTCCTAATTGTGCACTAGGTGAGATCTACTGCAAAAATTTTCTTGGACATCTATAGCAGTAGGGTTGGAAGTGTGTTGAAAACCTTCTTGGAGGGGAAACAAAAGGCAGCATTAAAGTTCTCTGTATTTCCTATCCGTAAAACACAGGTAAGAATTACCAATTTAATACATCTTTTTATTCATCTTTAGTCCTGGCTCTGTACATGAAACCCCAAATTTTGAAAGTATTCAAATGCTTCTGCTTAAATCAGTTATCAGAGCACAGTCACATGGCAACAGCTCTCTTCCACTGCCCTAACACTTTACTAGCCACTCTAATAACTATTCTGATCAAAAATTTCTGCCTTTCTAATGGTATAATGATATTTGTTTAGTCCTGAAATTAAAGCTCTGTGGATCATCAGAGCAAAACCAGTTTTTCGTGCACTGGGGAACGACTTACAGTGATCATACTCCTCAATATATGGCAATTTCAGTATTCCATAAAGCTGGCATTGTCATTTTATTAAATAAATTACAAGCACAAGGTTTCCCTAAGCTGCAGCCTCCATGCACTGGGTACAGATTCCTTGTTTCTAAGAATTTTACAAATAAAAAGAATAACTGGCCTAAATCCAAGCTGGCACAACTCCAAGAAAAGTGCTAGAGAAGCCCTGCAGCTTCTTCATTCTGTAGGTAGATGAGATGATTTGGGTTGAGATGAGAGTAACTTAGGTGCTTTTGAGGATCTGCTAGAATCATTTTTCATAATGGGACTCTACCCACAGAGAACAGTCACCTTTGGAGAATTCAGTAATTTTTCTCTTGTGTAGCAATGTTCACCAGCGAGAACTACAGGCATAGACCTTATCCTGCAGCCCTGACTCACTCAAGTACAGCAGTGCCAGTAACGGCAGTAAGTTTACATCCACAATGCAAGTTCAAGCTCACATAGCCCTATATCGAAAGTTGAGAGCGAAGTCCTCTGAGGTGTCTAGAGAGATTTCGGACGTTAAAACAGGTAACTGAGTTTCACTGGTAAGAGAAATTTAGAGCACAGAACCATCGCATTAGCTCTGTAAGTATTAAAAACCAACTGGAGCCGTAATTCCAACACAGATTTACCATCGCCTACCTGGTGATAAAAGTCATCGTCATCAAATATCTCCTCATCTATGTCCTTCAGGTGCCTGTTGGAATCTGACTCAGGGAGGACTTCCTAGAAGCACAAAGGAAACACTGAGAGCTCATATGTGCATATTTCTGTCCCTATCTCTGATGACATCACGTGCAGCAGCTGGTAAACACACTTGAAGATATGAAGGAATGGAGAAAAGCTCCCAACATAACAAGCTTTTAAGGACTAGGAATACATTTAAAGGCAAGGCAGAAACGCTGCCAATGCCAAAATAGATTTATGATACCTTTACTGGGAAATAAATAGGACTGTGCAAAGTCTTTCTGGCAAAATACTACAGATATTTTTAATGTAATGGCAAAAATATATCTTGCAAGTGCAGTAATTCTACATGATCTCTCAGAATTGAGTATTTATTCCTTCTTAAATACTAAATTAATAACAGACTTAACTACTAACATATTCTGTAGGTTATATGCAGTGCGATTTTAGAAGTGACTTTCTGGGTTCAAGATTCTAAAGTTCAGAGCAAAAACAAAGTTTTGTAGCCACTACCCCAAAAAGCGGATATAGTGAGCATCACTTCCTACGGCACGGAAGGGGCACAACCACAGACCAAACCTTGTTTTCCCCTGTCAAGAACTGGCACAGGAGATAATGCAAACACCCTAAAACTGGAACTGAAATGTCTACATGTTTTTCTTAGCCATTACAGTACAGGAATCAACACTCAAATATCTCCTTCATAAATCTCTCACAAACAAGAATATTACCTGCTAAAGGCTCAAGCTAATTGTTTCGCAGAGAGTTTCACTGCTGCTACAGGATGAGTGATATAAAGAAAATACCCTTACCGAATTCTCAGGCAAAGATTCAGGGACCGGATGAGATTCCTGTTCCTGCTTTCCCAGCACTGTATACACTGATCGCTTGGTCTGTGTCCGCCGTAGTAATCTCTCTTTGTCCATCATAATATGATCAATCTGAGTCAAGATTGAACGCTCAAAGGCACCGAAACCCTGCAACAACATTAACTAGTGTCAGATAATGCAGAAAGCTTTTCCTCAAGGCAGCAATGTTCCTCTATCTTTCCATGTCAGCGGATAAGCAGACAGCATTCCAAGAGGAGGGGGTTTGGGTTTCATTGCAGGGATTTCTGCTAGGATTTTTTTATTTGTTTCTCCCTCTCTCTCCTTTCCCAACCTGAGGCAACCTGACGCCTGGCTTAATAAAATGCCTTTGCTGTTCTGGTTCAGATGAACTTCTCAATGATTAATACTAACACACAGATGTTAGGAGACCCTGGATCTTCGGGTGAAATGATTACCCATTGTATTAAAGTGTACACTTCATGGAGGAGGAGAGCCACAGAAGCCCCTAGTTCTGTTATAAAACACAAACAGCTTGTTGATCAGCAATAGCGGCATTTTCATAGAGCTTACTTGCTGCTGGAGACTGGCTATGATGAGATGTCTGGTTGGGAGAACACCAACACTATCCAAGAGTTTTTCCCAAAACTTGGGAAACCATTTGCCCTTGAAAAATTTTTTCCTGCCCATCTGCTCAAAACAAAAGAGTGCAGCTTATGCCTTTGAAATCTGAGGGCTGAGCTTCTTTCCAAATTCCTTTAAGGCTGGGGAAAAGTGTGCACCTGTGTATTTAATTCTTACTGCTGTAACTCTTGGCTTAACTTGGAACATCCATGATATGAAACTTTCAAACCAACTTGTTCCACAAATCTCTGCTAAACAATAAGCATGTCAGCAGACATAAACAAAGACTTGCCTTTCCCATTTTGCCTGATGCCAGCTTTGTCTTGTCATGCCACTTCTGCAAGACATTGTTCCGATACGTCCTGAAGTCAGCATACCGCTTGGCTATGAATTCTGGGTAGTCCTCCATCTTTAGGTTTCTTTTGGGGAGGCTCCTCCTCTTCTCCTGAGCCGTATCCACTTGCTCTTCATCGCTACTGCTAGGGATTTCATCATCACTAGAACAAAAATACACAGACTAAACACCCTGCACCTCTCTAAGGCAACATGTGTGAATTCTTAATGGCCCCTCCACTACCACCCATGCTTTTTCCACACCACGGTGATATTTATGGCAAAAGACCCATACTTTAGTCCCTCCTCCATTATCAGAAAGATTACAAAGCAGACTTCCCGCACTGGCAGAAGGATTTCAAATGGTCATTTGTCCAGAGTGTCTGTCACCCAGATACAGCAGCAACTGAGAGAACAGCAGAGAGTGAGCATGGTCAGCAAGGCTGTGCATTGTCCTGTTTGTTGGAGAGTTGCAGACCAAAGGATTCAGAAAGGTCTTGTCTGATTTCGTATTTACCTCTCAGTTTTTGATTGCTTTCCATCTACCAGATGCCTCGTGCCTGGGTATTGATAAAGCAGCTCATCCTGAAGCTCCACTAATACTTTCAGCAATGCCTCCAGGGCTTTACAACCTGCAGAACAAGAGACACAAGTGACAATTTCCCCCTGATCCTTGCTTCTGGTGAAGACTTAGCTTTGCAGCGCTTAGTTTCTCATCCTGAATCTGAATTTCTGCCACAGCTACTGCATGTCCCATTAACTGTTTTTCCCTGATCAGTTAGAGATGTCGGTTTATCTTCAAACTGATTTATAGCTATTAACGTCAAACACCACCACGCTGGGAAAGAACACCTCTTTCCTAAAAAGGGAGGAAAGGAGGCAGGACTGCCTTCTAAACATCTGCCTGGCTGCACATGGGGAGTATACCGATCTCATGTTTCATCGACAAACATTCAGACTGCAGAGCCTAAAGGATTAGCATATCGAAGAAGCAAGTACCGTATGCAGAAGCATCTGATGACACACGCATATGACAACAACCTTTTTTGCTGACTCACTCATTTCTCTCTTGTGTTAAGTTCTGCAGCAGAGGCCAGCTTCAGTTGAATAATATGAAGCAACACAAGGGAAAATGCATATATGCACATCTCGTCTAAACTTGACCTCTGACTTTTCCTTCTTGTACGTTATGTGCATGTTATAGGGAGCAGAAGGAGGGAAGGCAAGAAGAAAAACCGAACTCCTGCAGGGCTGTGACTACTGCTGGTTTCTGTGCCGCTGTGCTCACCACGCAGGAGGTATAGGAAATTAGATTGTAAGTAAAATTAAATGTAGCAAGATCTGATCTAGGGGGGAAACTTAAACAATGACCTGGCAAGTTTAATGAGAGGATTCCAATCAGAAAAGCAGAACTGCGGGCCCAGAGATCCTCAGAAACAGAGAAAGTGAAGAAAAGATTGGAGTGGAGAAGTGTACAAAATGATCACTACATGGTGTGCAGGTTAGTTTTACAGGGACGAGTAGTTGCTTTCCAGGGTATTTGCAGACAGAAATCCTGAATGCAGATCTGATGCTGTGTATCCAAAGGCTTTCACAGCTGACAGTTTTCCTGTATCTATGCAGATGCAGAGAAAACGATCTCTGTTCCAATGATGCTATGTTCTCCAAGGACACACAGTTGCAGCTGACTGTGGGAAGGGTTAACTGCACACTGTTGCAGCATCTGTTCTTTAAAAATAGTTCTTTTGTGGCAACCAACAAACCCCCCTGCAGAACGCTCTCATATAAAACAAGTGTTTGTCTAGGCCTACACAAACTCTCCCTTTGTACACTGCTACGCATCAATCACAGGGTCAGCTCTTACAGGTAAAACACTTAGGACGCTTCTGTCAAAAATCTAAACTGAACTTTATGCAGATTAATTTATATTTACCTGACGCTGGTGTATTGCCTTCCACTTTTACAAAGAGGCACCACAGAAAGGGGAAAAAATGCCCCGCTCGGAGGAACGTAGCACACCACTTCAGGATCTGTTTTGTTGCAGTATACGTTCACACGGGCTTGGCTTCCCTCCCCACGCGCCCAACAAGCATCCTGGCGGGCAGCAGTAACCCTGGCTGGCAGAGCACGTGGATTTGTCCGGAGGGCAGGAGGAGCACGGCGGTGCCGCGACATCCCCGGAGCTTCCCCTGGTGCCCCCTCTGCCAGTTCCTCCGCTGACATGAAGTCAGTAGGGCTGTTTTGCTTAACTCCCAAACCTGCTTCTTTTTTTATAGTTAGCATAAAAGAATGGAGAGAACTTTTCACCACTCCATTTTTTTCCTTTTCTTCTTTTTTTTAATGGAGGACACAGATCATGGGTAGAGTGAACAGCAAATCTTCATCAGCCAGACAGGGACAGTGCAAGCAGAAATCAGCCCAGACATTCAGAGGTCTCAATCTCCCGCATGTTACCACTGTGATATTGCTCAGTTGTCACCATCTTCAGATAAATTACGGCCTGACCTCAGTAACAGGAATGTCAAGGAGAAGACGCTTTAAGATTTTTGTTGCAGATCAGCTGTTGGACTCATCCCCCCTCCCCGGCCTGCTGTTCATTTTAGATAGGTTCTGACAACTCTCCTATGCAAACCTATTAATGGATTAGGTTTGCCATACTTGTAAAACAGCCGTTTGTTAGCATCAAAACAATTCCAAGAGACAAACAGACAAAAGCCCTTAAAAATGCATTTGCTGTATGTGTCTGCAGCTAAAGCATCGCTTGCAAAAGGAAAGTGCCCCCACCCTAGCCTGAGTGCACAGCTTACAACAGCAAAATCTTTCCCACTGCCTGCAACACAGCTAAATGTCCCCAGAGCTTCCGAAACTGTTTATTTTCTACCCGCTGCCTATCCTCCAGCAGCAGTGCTAATGCACCCCAGGCGGCTTTGATCCTGTCAATTACAACTGGAGTAGCACTCCAGCTCTTCTGGGGTATATCAGGGCCACGGCACGCAGGCAAGGAATAAAGACAGGCGCAAGCTCCCCCAAGCTACGAGATATGGACCCCAACAGAAGTGGGGATGGGGAGCAATTTTATTTGGAGTGAAGGGGATGCAGAGGGCAGGGACGACAATGACCGTGCATCTAACCGGGTGGGAGGGCTGATTATGGCAGACAGCGGCTTCATCAGGAGCCTCTTACAGCTGGGTAACTTCCGTGCTTTCAGTTCTTGTGTATTTAATAGCATTATTGGATGGCATTCTCATTGTTGCTGCTGGGTGCTTAAGTGTGCTGTAAACTCAACTTCAGAAGCCAAGTGTCACCCTCCTCTGCCCTCTTCCCATCCAGCCCTGCCCTATCCATTTCACGTTTAATTCCAGAAGGGACTGTTTTCTTCCCCGTCTCCTCTCCATCACCTCTTCCCTCTAATGCCCTCATCCGCCTTTACACCATCTACTTTGGGGAAAAGACTGAATCCATTTGTGAATGAAGGCAGTGTAAAACAAAACTGTTTCACAGATGCAAACTATGTCATTTTAAAGGAAAGCCGGACGCTAACCCTCCTGCTCTCCTACCCCCTCCCAGCACGTTTTTTTTTAATGCTGCTCTTTGTCTGGAACAGACAATTAAACAGAAAAGAGTCACAAACATGGAGCTTTCAAGCACCCCAGTACATTAAGGCAACCAACGAGCAGCTTTCACATGTGACCACCAGGTTTGTACCTCCTGCGCCCTTCCCTGCTCTGTTCACAGAACAAAGCCAGCGATACCTGAGAACACAGGCAATGCCAGCCCTGACCATGTCGCAGAGGCCTCCCACTGCCACGAGCTGTGTTAGGTCCTAGGCAGTCCCTGATGATTTTCAGTTTCTAAAGCTTTCGGGATCAAGAAGATACCAGCGCTATGGTTTTCACAAGCACCACAACCCGGCCAAGGCTGAAACAATGCTCTACATTACAGCTCCATGACTACCCTCCCACCACTCATTCACCAGCAGGAAGATCCTGATGCCAACAGCTGATTCCCAGAGCTACTACGCTAACTCTGCCATCAATATCACTTCTGGGTGTTGCTCCGTTGTGTTCAGCCAACTACAGATGCTTACGCATCCCCAGCCGCCCTGTCCCAGTCCAATGCACCAGGCAGTGGCCAGTGACCGCAGGCACAGCACTGCGACAGCAACTGCTAAGTTGTGGTAGGTAAAACTCCCCGACCTGACTTTGCAGGCACAGCGTATCACCCCAGCTAACCCCAGTCTGTGCCTCTCCCACCTCTTCTCTCCCACTCTCCGCTGGCAGCTTTGCTGCATCTCTCTTACAATCTGCACTGCAATGTGCTGGGGTAAATATTCTACCTTATGGTGACATCAGTGTCACAGCTGACACCTGTAACATCGGGCCATGCATCATCAGTGAGAAAAATCTCAAAACTGTCTCCTTTTCCAGGAGTTACTTCTGCATGTCCAGCCTGTGTTTTTTGAGGACAGGTGGCTCACCACTGCCTTATAAACAAAAGAAGCTGGATCCCTTTACAGCACTTCAGGATAAGCAACTGAAATCCCCAAAACAACAACTCATACTCGGTGTGTAGGAGAGGCCGACTAACCCCAGGACAACATGCAACCCCTCCTTCCACCAAACCTTTTCAAAGCTGCCCTTTGGGAAAGAAAAAAGGATGCTGAGTGGGATCCATCTGCAGCTGCTCCAAGAACACAGCAAACGTGGCTTGAATATAACTTCCAGCTTAAATGGGACTCAGAGTGTCTGTGGTGAGATGCTAACTTGTAAGAGTCACTTTTAAGAGTCCATGGGAGCCCCTTCATTTTGTGTAGAGGAGCAAAAAAGTTGTTCCAGATCCAGCAGACAGCATATCAATCCACCAAGAAAGCTGGGAGCCAGTATCAGTAAATCAAAGTGTGCCTTTCTGTTAATACTCTCTCATACGTTCTCATTTTATACATCCCTTCACCCAGTCAGAAAGTAGCCCTGGAGTATTTAGCTCCATTCAGGGATAGCACTGCCATGTATCAAAGTGTCAGGAGACCCACCAGAGATGAAATCTGTCCTACTGCTCTCAAACCACAAAAATCAATTTTGTCGATGCCAGTGGTTATGGACAAACCGGCTGTGCTGCTGGCGTCCCCCCTGTGCGTGGGGTGGCTCCTGGCTGCAGGGTACCGACCCCACGGCGCGCTCCCCACCCCAGCCCTCTCCGCACGCAGAGGGCAGCCGTGCCTCCACTGCCGCCCGAGCACCGCCGTGCTGTGGACTCACAGGCGTGATGGCTTCAGTGCTCACCCGTCGCTGTAAGTTCAGCATTTCTACAGCAAGGCAGCTTCCTGCGCAGAAAAATATCTGCGCTCTTTTTCATGACCTCTAAAAATGGGGTCTCATTTCATCTTCCCAAGCAGCTGCAGAGAGCTGCAGCTGGTGCGGAGCAGCGGGGAGCGGCCTCACGCAGAGACACTTTAAGTCAATGGAAAAAGCCGGTGCCCCAAGGCCAGGCTTTCAAAGGTATTCACAGAGACCCAGCCAGTGGGATTCCCAAAACTGCTCCAACCAGGCAAGCTCCTCCTCGCCTGACCCCGGTGCATCCATCCGGCAAACTCAGAGTATGACAGTATCCTTAAAACTGGGGCAAACCTCCCAGG